TCTTTGTGATTGATTGAAAGAATGACGTGAGTGAAAGTTACCCATCTCAAGCGCCACCCCATCACTCCACCTGATGTCTTTCTTCCATCTGGACATTCTCACACAGCCGACGCGCCATCACGTCCATCTCAGCCCGCTATTGATCGCCCTCATGATCTAATCCCCTCGCTTTGCCCTCCTGTCAGCTCACCTTCCATTCCCCTCCCCCACCCCCACCCGTTGATGTCTTCATGAAGCAGCGGCAGCAACCTTTCCTCTTTCGCTTCAAGCAATATCCCCGTGCGCGTATGTGAGATGCACGCGCGTCAGCGTTCCTTGGAGCTGCCGCACATTTGATCCGAACCTGACGTGACCCCGAGAGCCATTGAAGAGATCCCCCCCACCCCACACCCCCACTCCCCGCTTACTTTTACCACTGAAAAAGCCTCACTTACTCGTAAATACTTCAGGTCCTCAGGTTTGAAGCGATTTCCCTAAAATTAAGTTTCGTGCTGGGAGTGATCGGTCATTGCCATGTTCCGTGCCTTCAGACGGGGTTCTTGAGAGCTTTATTAAATAAATACTTTTCCTGCCTGGCCTGAGTGAGAATGTCGGGATGAATTATTGTTCCTCTTCCAGGGAGTGTGAGTTACATCGCACGCCATTTCATCTTGCTCCTTCCATCTCTTCACTAATGCTCCACAAATGTCTCCTGGAGACTTACATTTTTTTGGGGGGGGTTAATGTATTTTTTTTTTTTAGCTGTGCTCCTCCACAGCATGCCAAAATTGTATACTGTTCCTTGATTTAAAAAAAACAAAACAAACAAACACATTCTGCTGGACTCAAATGTTGCTGGAACCCCCGCCACTACTTTTGGCTTTGTACCTAAAAGCAAGTGGTGGGCTGCTTTTTTTTTTTTTTTTTTTTTAGTTTTTGTCCTACTTTGTTAGATCACATCTTTCATCAGTTTTGTATCTTCTTCTGGATTGGGACATATGTCTCATATTTTCATTTGTTTCACCAATTATTGACGATATATTGTCATGACCGAACGAACAAGATCCTGGATGCAAGCGGTCGAAATGACATGAGATGAGAAGGCCAAAATGGAATGGCACATTTGTGTCAGCATCAGTTATTGCGTTAAGCATGTCATTTTTAACATCAGCTGATAGAAAAACAAAGTCACGTACGCTGAATGATTTGTGTTTGTTGACCTTTCTCGTTTTATCGATGGGATCTCGCCTGTCAGAAAATAACATGGGGCCCATCACTTCCTCATCTCGTATTTCCCCTTTCCAGGTCCAATTGGCTGAAGCCGTGCTGCGGGGGCCGGGCGGCGCTGTGGCAAGTGTGCCTGGCGTCGGCCGGCTTCAATTGCGTCCTGGTGGCCTGCGTGGTTCTGGTGGTGCTGCTGCTCACTCTGGAGCTGCTCGTCGACACAAAGCTGCTGCAGTGTGAGTAAACAGATGCGAATTTAGGAGTCCAGCTGTTCCTTTTAATTGACGAGCGTCAGCGCTTGTCTGCACCTGCAAACGCTGTGTAGCATGTCACGGCTGTTGCGAATGTGCAATGAACAAGCTGCTGGCTTTTCTGCCAAGTCATCATTGTCATGATTTAAGTCAGTAATTACATCGTTTGTCATTTATGGAGTGGCCACGGAACTACAGCCGCAGCACCGAAGCATACAAGACGAGGTTTTTTTTTTTTTTTTTTTTTTAAATCTATGCGGTGGTGCCCTGAGATGATGCCTTCAATCGTCTTTTCCCATTTAAATAAATATAAATCCCATTAATACGCCTAAAATTAAATATATTGCAGTATGTTTTTAACGAGCAAAATAGCACTCCATGCTATTTGTCTTCATAAAACTTACTTAAATTTAAAGAATTAATTGTTCGGCATCATGATTAAAACTACTGTGACTCCTGCTACTTGGCTACCAGGAAGCAGTTTGTAATGCAGTAATGAAGATGCAAACTAAGAAGACTTTTAAGGGTGTGATATAGTGAACTGCTGTCCTCGTAACTGTTCTTCACAGAGGATAAAGAATATATCCCTTCGAGTACTGTGATAGTGTCTCTTTTCATGTTTTGCTTCACTGTTGGCGTTTAAGTATCCATTGCTTATAGGATTATTACATTGCATGTCGCTTCTGTTATATGTTAGCTTTAAGCTATCAGGGGTATTCTTAAGTCAAAGTTGCTTGGTTGTATTAAATACACATGGAATACTCTTTCTTTTATGTTCATTTTGACAGTACATTTCAACTGGGGAAACATTGTGGACTATTTGCCAAACTGCTGTTTATTGTGAAGAAAGCTGTGTTGAGTTCACTGCCACAATACAGCGCACGCACCGTCGCTCCAATTTTTGCTAGCAAGCCAAAGCAAAATGATTTTGTTGTATTATTTTGATTTTTGTTGAATGTATGTTAAATAAAAATGGAATCTCGACATTAAAATCGCTGTAATGTTTTGTCAAACTTAAAAATATAAATGGTCTCTCAAAATTTTCCAGAGATATGTTGACATGGAAATTCGAAAATGATCCAATTTTTTTTTAAGTAACTGTGAAGTACGTACGAAAGATAATATATGATTATTTCTTGGAAAACGTACAGAAAGACCAAAGAAAGTCATGTCTTATGTCTTATTCATTTGTACATGTCTCCTATCTTTTAACTTTTAATGAGATGAGTGGTCCCAGAATGTTCAACATGATCCCAGGCGGGAAAGACTCGCTGTGATGTAATTCCGTGCAATCTACTTACAACACACACGTTTTGAAACAGCGGTAAACTGCTTTTATTTTGTTTGCGATATCTTAATAATTTATACCATACTTTTTTTTTTTTTAAATAAAATGTTAAAAGCACGGTTCAGTATTTGATTCAAAATGGGCTCAATATTCAAGAAGTACTGTATGTACAAACCCCTGCAGCGATGCACTGAAAATGCAGCATTCCCACAATTATCATAAAAGTCATTCAAAGACACTGAGTGGAAGGCTGCAAGGCTTGATATTTTTATATACCATGTATTATTTATTTTTCTATTTATATAGAGTTTAGATATGTTCTGTGCTTAAGAAGGGTAGTCCACATGTTTACATATCATTGTACATATCAAGTACATTCTTTTTTTTAAATTGTTCAGTTTAGATACTCACTTCCTTTATGGAGTATCTCTCAATTTTCTTGATATTCACGTACTACCGATGGGGGAAAAAAAAAGCCTCAAATTTGAATAAAAAGTGAAACAAAATTCAAAGTGGCAACTTTTGGGGGGGATTTTTTTTTTTTTCAAATGTATCAGAAATTGGGACCCCGAACTTCAAAACACTGATGAAAACTTACTGACCACTAAATCACCATACTTCCCAAACAAAAACAAAATTCCGTTCACTTTTGGATTGCGTGAAAAATGACCTCAGTGTCCATTTGTTTTCATATTAATTCACACTAAATTCTCGTAAGGACGGTCTGACTATCTATTGCTTGTACACTAGTTTATCTTCTCTGTCTTCTGACCAGAGGCAACTGATCGATCATGGTCTTGGCAAGCTAACTGTCGCTTTAGCATTGCACTGTTGATATACTTTGCCAAGCGGTGTGACCCGCGGAAACCCGATGTCACCTTCATCCACGTCATCTGTCCTGATCAAGACACGCTCGTCCATCATGAGCGCAAGGTTACGGGGCATGTGACCAATGTGAATGTGTTTAATGCCAGCCGCTATACGTTTTATTATCCCAATAAATACACAGGCGGATACACATGCGTGAGCTTTGCTCCTCCAGGAACGTTCGTTGGTGTCACATAACTGTAAACGAGTCAACTGACCCAATCGTGTTTCTCTTTCCCTACAGTTAACAACGCGTCCCAGTTCGCTGGCGTCATCCACTGGGTCAGCCTGGCTATCCTGTCTGTGTTCTTCACCGAAGTGAGTCTCCATCAGAGCTACAGTCAGCTAAGGAGCTCCTCTTGCAGATGGAAAGGAGAAATTAGATTACTTTGTATTTAGCCTGAGAGCAATCAATAATAATTTAAAATGTGAGTGGGAGTCACAGAGTAACCAATGACATGATCACAATGTTTTGCACTGCAAAAAATGTGGAAGATGCACAGTTTTCAAAATTTAACCATGTGTATATAAACATTTAATATTTTATATGTAACATGAATGCATCAGTTATAAATTCATTAACATAATATTGTATGCATTGATGAACATTTACTGTCCAATACAATAGAAAATTTGACATTATTATTAATAAAAACATAATATACACCAATAAAAAAACATAGCACAAACCAATACTGTATTTCTATTTAAAAAATAATATCTGTACTGTGGCTATAAGGATTAACAAATCAGCCCATTTGAAAGGGGGTCATATCCATTTTTTTTTTTTGCAGATTTTTTTTAAATTCACATTACAAGATAAAGCAAAGATAATGACATTCCAACAAAGATTTTTAAAAATCGACCTTTTTTTTTGCACATTTTTCTCGCTGTTGTAAAATTAAACAAATACTAAAGGACCACATATTGTAAAACAGTCAAATGTTCTGCCTTTAATTAATGTCTTTGTTGTCAGCATTGAGGGGCCCAAAAAGAGATGCGATTTGATCATTCTGTATATTTTCTTAATTAATCAGTCATCGGATATCGAATATCAGAATCATCATCAGCCTAAAAAAAAAAACATATCAATCTCCACTTAATCTTATGAAATGGTATTCGGCCCACACTGGAAATAATGTATATTTTTTTTTTTTAACGAGAAATAAAACCCTGACACTTTTAATCAACACTCAAACTGAGAACCTCAGAACTGCAAGGCAGATCCTGTAACTGCTTGCCAACCATGCTGCCTAATGCCAGCATATGCAATACAAATGCATGCCGCATAATCAAGCGTAGTTGTTCTTGTGGCTCCAAATAAGCGCAGGTGTTCAAGTATTGATCACTGCTTCCTTTACAGCCCGGGATGTTTTTCTTCCTCAGACTTGACGAGCCCACTGCTAACATTTCAATTCATTAGCAGGTTAGCCGCAAGGAATGAACCCGTGTGCACAGCAGCAGTAAATGCCACCACCTCTGTCTTTTATTGGGAGTTACGACCCAGCATGCACTGCTTCCAGCATCCGCTGTCCCGTATTGGTTTAGTTAGACTCTCCTTATTTTCTCACATCTTTGCAACAGTTTCACCTTCTCTCTGTCTCCATCCTCAGACCGTTTTCAGGATTGTGGTGCTGGGGATATGGGATTACATCGAGAATAAAGTGGAGGTAAGCTCCCGTGGGTGCTATTAGTCCCGCCTCAGGGCCTCCCTTCACTGCAGTGTCATTGCCTCAATGTCACTGCTCAGCGAGTGTTTCTTTGTCGCCTCAGGTGTTCGACGGAGCTGTCATCGTCCTTTCGCTGGCCCCTATGGTGGCCTCCACCGTGGCCAACGGGCCCAGCAGCCCCTGGGACGCCATCGGCCTCATCATTACGCTGCGCATCTGGAGGGTAAAAAGGGTAATCGACGGTAAGGATGACGCTATGCGTGCAATGGTTTGTTGAGTTGTCCTCTGTAGAAGAGTTGCAGGGTGGGGAGTAGAAAAAGATCCAAGGGGGGTAGAGCATTTGTGAGCCGGCATCGCAAAATGAGTCAGAAGTTGCACGGGTAGATTCCGAGATACGAAGTAGTAGATGGTTCAGTGGGTCAAACGTCTACATCTTTAATTGAAGAATTTTCATCAAATAGCATTTTAAAAAAAAAAAGCTCAAGTTCATGACCCCAAAATACTGGCCTCTGATTGTCTATTCATTTGAGTAGCATAATGATCACTGAACGTAAGATGCAGCAGCGCACTGTCGCAGCCGGGCTAGCTAGCCCCTGCGCCTCTGTGGCGGCCCTGTTGACAGTTGCAACTTTCCCACCAAAGGCAAAGATTGGACATCATAGTCATAACTAGCTTATTTCTCAACTGATTTTCATGAGGTTACTTCCAGTTCCATTGTAATGATTCGACGCCGTTGTACACAAACGTATGCAGCACAATGTATTGGCCCCTCCTAGCTTAGCGTTGCCATTGACACGTAGTTTAAAGGAGGTTTCTCCTACCCACCTATTCATAGCTGTGGCAATAATGTAATGAGCAATAATTTTGTCATAGTTAGCCAAGCGCAATGGTTGATACGTCATCGGAAAGCTGGAATCATTCTCTTTTTGATTCTGCCAAAACCCTATTTCTAAAATATGGGTCTCTGTGACTCATTGTGCTCTACCAGGTCACCTAAGGACATCCATCGACTATTTTGCATCAAGGAAGGTCAAATGGGAGCACTTTTGAAATAATTACTCGATCTAATCCTTATGAAAGAAAGCAAGTACGCACGTGGTGTGGGTGAGGGTGCGCATATGGTGCCATTCAAGTTAAGACCTGTGTGTGTGTGTGTGTGTGTGTGTGTGTGTGTGTGTGTGTGTGTGTGTGTGTGTCTCCTTTCGAGCTTGTTGCCTCAATTGCCTCATTCGTCGTTATTTTATTTATTTAACATGACTTATGGTATTACGCTGTCCTAATTAATGTGTTTTTGTTCCACTGAGGCAGTTGCTAAGGGCAAACTGTTAAACCAATTATGGAAAGCAGAACACACCATTTGTTGGAAGTCATTGTTGGTTTTAACAGCCTTGCTCCCCCTTGTGGTTTTTCCAATTAGCCGCACGATGGCAGGTGAGCGCCAGTCACAAAAAAACGCTTTCGATTCGTTGAGAACTGAGGTGGCCAGACGTTGATGCTGAATGGCCAAATTTGATTTTCAAAATCGGTCAGATAGGCTTGGTCAATTTTATATGTGGTAATATTAATAAGAGTAAGGATACGTTGAAATGTGTTTAAAAACATGCAGTGTTTTAATTCATTTCCATTTTTCTATAATATTTTTGATTATAACTCACTGAGCAATTGTTGACATTATTAAAATAAATAAAAATGATAAATGCATATGACCTCTGTTTTATTTATATTCAAAACAAAAAGGATTTGTATGGATGCCATGTTTAATATTATTAATTACTAATAGGTTGTCAGGTTGGAATTTCATCATGAACCAAAGACCGCCGAGTACTCCCCGGTGTAAAATAATGACCGAAACCAATGAATGAGGTGTGTTTCTGATCTTTCCCGTCGCAGCCTACGTGCTGCAAGTGAAGGTGGAGATGGAGCTGGAGATCCAGCAGTACGAGAAGGCCAAGGCGGTGAGAGAGGAGCAGCTCGACCGCCTCACTCAGATCTGCCAGGAGCAGGCGGTAAGTGCGATCGGCGTTTCTTGCAGCTCCACTGGCAATTACACTTTGTTACCAGCAGAGAGCAATAACGCTCTATAAAAGAAACGTGGTGACGTAACCCCTATAAACGCCTCTCACAAAAAAATATTTTTTTTTCACCAATTCAAACCATTAAAACTTTGAACTGTTCATCTTATTCGCATTATATTTTTAATTCAAGATGAAACCAAAAATTTTGACGTTTTTCCTCACATTGTCCAACCGATTCAAACTGTTCCAACTTTAAACTGTTCAGATAACATTCCATATCATTCAACAATGTTCAATACCGTTCCGTATCATTTCATTATAATCCGTGATTCCAAAGCATTCCACTTCATTCACTGAGAATTTTTCATTCGGCATTTCAGCTTTCACGTGCAATTTCAACAAAAATTGTCGGGTAAATAAATAAAATCATATTTTTCTTTCAATCAATGGTGTATGATGAAGAAATGAATACAAATCTGATTCGTACGGATTTTTTTTTCTGTTTTATGATAAGCATTCATCTATTTTCAATGCCACTTTTTTCCTCATTAGGATTACGGGTGAGCTGGAGCCTATCCCAGCTGCAGTTGAGAACAAGACGTATAATAAATGAATGGATGACATTTTATGATATTTTTTTTAATCTTTTTTTTTATGTAAGTCCAGTTTTACTGTAACCATACAATGAGCTCTGATGATAGCTCCAAATGAAATCACTGAGTTGTCATCCTCCACCATTTCGATGTGCCCACTTCTTCCGTCTGCGCGAAGAAAGGATATCAATCCCGCCCTTTTCTGTCCCTCTCTCCCTTCAGTTTGAAATCCGGCAGCTGAGGGCCCACCTGGCCCAGCAGGACCTGGATCTGGTGGCGGAGCGGGAAGCAGCCATGCAGATCCACCATATGTGGGGTAAAACGAACAGCAGTTTCCATGAAGTGGACGGACTGGCCCCTGGGGTCTCCGATCATCACAGGCCAGCCAAAGTCCGAGAGACTGGAGGGCCCCCAGGTAACCGTCTGGAATAGGTGCCTCTTTTGTACCGGCAGGTTATCAGATAGCTTGAGCGCACAAGGCGGCGTTCACTTGATGTTTTCAGTGCTAAGTTGTGGCCTCGGTGCCTTGAGACCTGCAGGACAAATGATTGTTGATACACAGACAAGTGAACCTGAAACTGAAGGTTGTTCACGTGGAACTGGCAGCCATGAGAAATCCCTCACACACCGATAATGTCGATGATTAGAATACTAGAATACAACCTTTGAGGTCATCATGCATTAACATAAAACCGTTAGTCAAGGCAATATTTGGGATAACCTTTTAATATTCTTAACTGTCGTATATGGTGTAAGAGCCTCTCATCTTTTTGGTTTTTGTTTTTTCATGAGAAAATGACACAGTTATGATGAGCACACTTGGATTTAGCATGGTTCATGTATCACACTTCTTTTATTTATTTATTTTTTGCCCTTAAATGGCACAATTAGGATGTGCATGTAGGAAAAAAAAACACATGGATTCGCTTCAGATCGAAATCGAGCCTTTTCCAAATGTGGATGAAAATTCAATTTCGTCGATATGCCAATGTGAGTACAGCATAGACGCGGAGATCAGATCAGTCCCATCCTTGCAATCCCGATGTCTCGAAAAACACCCATTTTTGAGGTAAACTCTGTGTCACATTTAATATTTACATTATTTACGTTGAATAATTGTTACATTTTGTGTCGTTAAAATCCCACTGAAAATTTGACAATCATTGTGGCAAATCCACTGAGCGCCTCGAGTGTTACTAAAAGCCCAACAAATAGAGCTGTAGCAGCAAAATGCATTCATAGGCCATTCTGATCTGCTCATTTTATGACAGGTTGACATCACAAACTGGCGCATACTGTTGCTTTCCTCTAACACATAAATATTCCAGTGGCACACCGAGATGGACTGTAAAGCTCAATAGTGACGGGTCATAATTTAGGAGGAGTTAAGGGGTGCAGCTCATGTCCGGGGCCCTCACACACAGAGAGAGCCTTTTGCTTTATCAAAGTTATAAATCATAGCAATACATCTGGGATATGTGCTTTGCTTGACTGCACCCAGTCCTTGTGCACTCGTGTGTTATTGATTGGTTGGAGATGGCCTCTCACCACGTATGACACGATGCACTTTTGACACCGCAGAGATATAAGAAGCTTCTCAAGACACTTATGACCAGTGGCTGCTAAAAATTTGAGACAAACACAAAGACGAACATGGATTTATATTTTTATATATATTATCAGCATATATATGGATATATGTTGATAAATAAATATTATATATAATTGAGAAGTGGGTGGAAAACAATTCAGAAAAAATATAGATATTTTAGAATATTGCAAAAAATATTGCAACATTTTCAGGAAAACTGAAATAGTACTCAATCTTTGCAAAAAATATGTCATAATAAAATGGCTAGAACAGCTGAACTTTAGCTACCATTTATCAAAGACATTTGAAATGGTTATTCCTATTTCATTAGTTTGAATGTGATTGGTTTGTTCTGAACTCCGCCATATCCCCAGTTCTAAGAAGGTGTGCATACTTATACCATCACATTATCGCAGGGGTTTATCTTTACTTCCCTTCTTGAAAAGATTTTTTTGAATATTTCATTTTGGTGAAAGAAGTTTTTAAATGATTGATCTTGCAGTTTTTTTTTTTGACAGAGGTGTGCAGACTTTTTTTGTACTTATCTGTCCTTATTATAGCACATCCACATGGGCCTACACAGAAAATATTCGACAATGATAGAAATATAATGTTATGCAATTAATTGAAATACTGCTCCGTATTGCATATAACAAGAAATGAGAAAATAGTTTTTGTTTTGAGAGTTATCTAGAAAGATCCACTGAATTCTGAGGCGTCACTTCTATCTTCCGCTGTCTTTAGATCACCACGGCCAAGACGACATGAACAACTACATCAGTCAATATTATAGCGAGCCGAGCAGCGGTAAGCATCCACGACATCCCGTTAACTTCACCGTCGATCTGTCCGTATCGGTCATTGTGGCGTCTCTTGTAGACATGGGCGTCCCCGACCCGGCCGCACGCGTCATCACCACAGCGGCCATCGACGTCCACCTCCCCAACAACCCCAGCCATTTCCCTCCGTCTCTGGTGAGCTCCGACGCCCTGTCCGACGGCCTCTCCGACGGCCGACTGCGGCGTGCCAACAGCTCGGCCAGCGACGCCTCGACCACGACGACGTCGCGCATCAGCAGCCGCTCCACCGTGCGCGAGGCCTCCACGTCCACAGACTACAGCGACCAGCGCTGCTACCCACCTCCCTACACCAGCCCCCTGGCGCTGGCCCCTCAGCCCAGGGGGAGTCCCAGCGCCGTGGTGCAGGAGCTGCTCTCCTCTCTGTCCGAGGACTCCTGTCTGAGCCAAAAGGGTCTGGACCCCGTCAACCTCAAACCGCCCAGCCCCACCGGTTCTTCCAAAAACAGCCCCGATCTGGAGAACAGGGTGAACATCTATAACAAGAGGAACCAGGAAAGCCGGCTCGGCTCGCACGCCAAAGCACTCATCCAGCTGCAGGGAACTGAAGCTTTCCTGGAGGAGAAGTACAGGATGATGGAGCCAGTCGATGCGCCCGTCCATCATCTATCCGGGACATAAGGTGGTGGAAGAGAGCAGGAACATGGACCTAAATCAATCCAGTCCATCGTCTGTCTGGGACAGGACGTGGTGGGGAGAGAACAGGAACAAGATCCTCACTTGATGCTCCAAGCCACCGTCTGTCAGTGACATGAGATGGTGTACAAGAACGTGAACCTCAACAGACTCTTGAATCCATCATCTGGCTGAGACATAAGGCAGTGGCAGGAACCTTCATAGATGCTGCTGCCAATAATCTGTCTGGGATGTAACATGGTAGCACAGAGCAGGAACAGGAACCTCAAAAGATGTTTGAATTCATTATCTCAATGAGACATAAGACAGAGCTAGAACAGGAACCTCGATTGAGATCCTAAGCCATCATCTCTCCGAGACATAACATACTGGCACAGAGCAGGAACAGGGTCCTCAAAAGATGCGCAAAAACATTATCTGTCTGAGAAATAAGATGGTAGGAGAGAGCGGGAACAGGAACCTCAAAAGATGTTTGAATTCATCATCTGTCTGAGACATAACAGAGAGCCGGAACAGGAGCCTGGATTGATATCTCAAGCTGTTTTCCGTCTAAGACATAAATTGTCCAAAGAGAGCCGGAACAGGAACCTCAAAAGATTCTTTAATCCATCATCTGTCTGTGACATATGGTAGTGGAATACAGCAGGAACAGAAACCCTCAGAGATGCTGCTGTCAATAATCTGTCTGGGACATAACATGGTAGCAGGAACAGGAACCTCAAAAGAACTTTGAATTCATCATCTATCTGAGACATAAGACGGAGCCAGAACAGGAACCTCAATTGATATCCCAAGCCATCATCTGTCCAAGACATAACATAGTGGCACAGAGCAGGAACAGGATCTTCAAAAGATGCCTGTCTGAGAATTAAGATGGTATAAGAGAGCAGGAACAGAAGCCTCAAAAGATGTTTCAGTTCATCATCTGTCTGTGGCACAAGACGGAGCCGGAGCAGGAACCTCAATTGATATCCCAAACCGTCATCTGCGTGAGACATAAGTTGGTCAAAGAGTTGGAACGGGAACCCCAAAAGAGGCTGGAATCCATCATCTGTCTGAGACATGCAGTGGTGGAAAAGAGCACTAATAGGAACCTTCATAGATATTGCTGCCAATCATGTTTGCCAAATAACATGGTAGAAGAGAGCAGGATCAGAACATCAAATAATGCTCAAATCCACCCAATCCAAAACATATAGTGGCACAGTGCAGGAATGGGAAGCTGCATAGATGCTCCAAAACATCATTTGTCTGAGACGTGTTGGTAGAAGAGGGCAGGAACATGAACCATAATGATAATTAAAAAATTAATAATGATAAAGAAGATAATATGCTCCAAATCATCATGTCTGAGACATAGGGTGATGTAAGAGAACTGGAACATGAATAGATAACCCCAAAACATAATCCCTCAGAAACATAAGAGAAGAAGCTGAACACATGACCAGGCAGATCAATCAATGCCCCAAACCATTCTCTGTTTGAGACATTACATGATGGAGGGGAGCAGGAACAGGAACCTCAATTGATGCTCCAGTCTGGGACCTAACAGTGTATGAGAGCAGGAACAGGAACCTAAGTCAGTGTTCCTGTCAGTTATCAGTCAAGGATATAGGGTAGTGAAAGAGCACAGGAACAGGTATGTGACTAGATAACCCATCCATCATGTGATGGACAAAGCGCAAGTTTCACTTGCATTTGTGTGCACGCATGAACATGCCGGAGGGTCACGTTTCAGGAAATGACTCTCACAGACACTTTTATGATCATTTGCAAGAAACTTGAGCAGCAACAGGACACCTTCCTCATGCTCAACGGACTTGGCACCCTTGCAAGCATGTCAGCTTTTTTTAAACAGTTTGATGAAATTACTGCAGGCTACAAGTGGAATCTGTGTTGAGATAAAGTTGTTTCTAATCTTTGTCTTTCTACTTTAGCTATGTTTGTAACTGAAATTCCATTAATGGAGTTTTAAAAAAACGTTTTTTGCAATTGAGCCAAGTTCAGCTTGGGCAGTGCTGAAATTTTAATATGTGCATTGATGACATCAAAGTCAAGGTGATTGTATGACTGGCTTTTAATGCTTACGAAGGTGTGTAAATATTTGCAAACAGGAGGAATTATGTGTGTCTATTACAAATTGCTCATCGCATGAACCTTCTACAAAATCGCACATCAACTTTATTGTACTGGCAACAGACGTTTTCTATCTCGGTCATCCCGTTAAGCCGACCAATAAAGGGAAAAAGAACACCCGAGTGAGTGGTCAATTGTCACCTTTAATACATCCCAAAATGACAACTCCTGTAGCTTCAGCAGGAATACTTTCCAGACACAGCAGACACTTTCCCATTCAGTGGAATTGCAGCTATCGGAGGGACAAAAAAAATCTGCAAAGTACTGTTTCAATTGTTGACATTTAAAATGTGCGTATATATAAAAATGGTGTCACTGATCTAAAGATATTCCCAGCAGGCCGAGGTGCATCCTGTACTCTTTCTTGGTGGTCAAGACGGCAGCTGCTACATGATAGTTTTCGGACGCTCGTTTCATCCTCACTTGCTCAACGCTTCGGTCATCTCAGGAACAGCCTGGGGAGGAGGCGGGAGGTCAGATTTGACTTTTGAAAATAATCATTATCATCCCAACAAACGGTGATGACGGGCAACCTAAAAGCGCTAAGCCCTCACCGATTAATCAGACGACTGATATTAGCTCTTTCAAAATGGTCGAAAATCATATAACAATATAGGACAAAGATAAATGAGATTGGATTATTTTTGCCGGATTTTTCTCTCTGTTGTAAAGTCCAACTAATACTCAAGGACAAAGTCAAGTTAAACAGTCAAATGTTCTTCTTGAAAGCGTTACGGGATACAAAATAAGTTGCTGTTCATTTTTATATTTATTAGTGATCCGCCGATTAATCAATTAACGGAATTTTATTCTGCCTAATATCGGAATCAGACTTTAAAAAAAAAAAAAAAAATCCTAATAGGTCAGGCCCTAAAAAGAATTGAAATTGTTCCTCAGCGACTTCAGGACAGAGTTCATCCTGAGTATCAATTGTCCTTTTGGGGGGGAAAACGAGCGGAGAGGCCATCCATCCATTTTAATCAGCTATCTGATCGGTAAGCGGTAAACTGATCTCACGCCGCAGGTCACAAGTCCACTGCCACTCACAATTATTACTAATCACATCCACGGGGACGCCGGCACCCTTTACGTGACACCTGTGGCGTGCGTGGGACACCTTGAAGGTACATTGAACAATGTGCTTGTTGTAACTGTCGTAGAACTGTCATACAAAACTAACCAGCATTTTTGTTTAGGTACACTTTTTGAGAAAGCACCTTCATCTATTCGACAAATGAATAATCCAACATGGGCACGCTTCCATTGACAGGGAAAACTGTTTGCTGGCCACTGCCATTTTGTTCGAATTGTTCATTTGATGTATATATTTTTTAAGTTGCAACTTTTTCCACACCGTGTACATGCAATCTCACCTTGAAGAGATCGGCAACCAGGCCGTAGTCTGACACCTGGAAAATGGGAGCCTCTGGATCCTTGTTGATGGCCACAATAGTCTTCAAAAGCATTCAAACAAAACGAGGCCTCTTGAGTCTTGAAAGAGCGCATCCATAATTTCCATTTGACAATTTCGGAAATGTACCTTGCTGTCTTTCATGCCAGCCAAGTGTTGAATCGCTCCAGAGATGCCCACAGCAATGTACAGCTCCTGTGGACACCAACGGAAACATGCTATGTCAACAGGAAGTGGCGCTCGGCGGCGGCTCACCTGCCGCCTCATGAGCTCTGTCTCAGGTTCATGAAACTAAGGAATGAATTTTTCAGTGCACATTCTAGATCGCAGCCCACTCTCAGAGAGGCTCGATATTAATGTATTTTTTTGGGGGGTGGGGCGGTAACCAGCTGGTCTTAACATTTGCAAAAATGAATTAGGTCTGTTTGGTGGTCTAAGAATCAAGCCAGACCTCACGACTCTCAACCTAAGTGGATGAATTGACCCTCAAAGAACCCTAACTGTGCCATTTGCCGAACTTGCCAGGACTTAATGTGTGGATAATCATCACCAGAGAACCTGACCGAAGCGTCGAATGGATAATTAACCTTTCACACAAGGAAAAGCGATGACGCTAACGGCTTGCAAGTATAGTGGAACCTCATCGTCCATTTTCCAGAGCATACATTTGCAGTCAACTGACATGACTCCTACTATACAAAACTTTTAGTGTATGACAATATTTTCTTTCCACCTCTTGCTACTCCTTTCACGACTTATGTTGCCAAAAAAAAAAAAGGCAATACTGTACACAGAGATTTAATCATTTGCTTGTTGCCAAACAGTGCTCTTCTAAACTTTCTTTCAAAAGCTTCCGTTTTATGCATGCATCTTCAAAGGGATATATTTTGTAACTGTATCACCCCGCGGGCCATCAAATTCAAAGGTTCCACTCTCACATCCACGCAACTTACCGGTGCTACAATCTTGCCTGTTTGTCCAACTTGCATATCATTCGGAACATACCCAGCATCCACTGCAGCTCGAGAAGCACCAACTATTAAAAAATAAATAAAAATAAATTGTCGCCATAATTCAAAATACGTAACAATAACAGAATAACATTTGCATTGGAGCAACATCTAACCTGCTGCGTTCATTTTGTCCGCGAGGTCATAGAGCAGTTTAAAGTTTTCTCCACTCTTCAAGCCTCTTCCTGGAAAAATACAAGTAAAAAGTAATCGATAAATTTGAATTAATTAATTTGATGAGAAGTGATATTCAATGAGAGTTGTCTCCACTTTTACATCAAAATAGTCTGGTTTGTTGTGAGTCCTGCTGCAAAAAAAACCAAATCCCACCTCCTGACACGACCACCTTTGCACTGGTCAACTCAGGACGATCACTCTTCGTCAGATTCTGTTCCAGCCACTCAGAAATTCCCACGGCGGAAGCGGCAGCCACTGTAGGTCAAATGAAAACCGCATCTCACACGCTATAAACTACAACCAATGACCACAACATTAGGTACACCTGTAATCCAGTCCAACAATTGAACAACGCTGATGATTTTTTTTTTTTTTCACCATTTTCTGTTGCAGCACTTCCTCCCTCTGCGGGCGCCGCCTCAAACGACGTCCCTCTTACGGTGAACACCTTCACGGGTTCGGTACACTTTACCGTGCTAAGAGCATTTCCTGGTTACATCACATACAGACAGCGTCAGTGATCGGAAAATATCAAGAGTACATTTTGAACTATGGTGTTACAAAATCAGGTTTTGGTTATGCAGTCTAAAAGTAGGAATAGTTTACCAGCATAGATGGCTCTGACAAACGTATCCGGGGACTTGATCTCAATAATATCGGAGATTGGAGCCACATCCAATTTTGCAGCCACTCTTGGCAGTAGGTTCTGCACAAACAACAAAATGACAAAGAATATAAGAGGAGGGGAATTTTCATGTCTCACTAAAATTCTAATTTGCTTATTCTCTCTCTCTCACACACACACACACACACACACACACACACACACACACACACACACACAAACACACACACTTTCTTATAGACATACATAGAGTGCAGGTTGTCCTAGTGTTACCTTTCCAAAGGCAGATGCACCGGCACATATATGGGTGAAGTTGAACTGCTTTTGTGTCGCCAAGACGAGTGGCGTGAGCTCCTCTGGAGAGCAAGACCAAGTGTGAGCAAATGTCATCAAATAAATGACAACACTGGCAATGTCCTGTACCTGGCAGAGCTCCTTTACAAGAGTCGTTCTGAACCACCAAAACTTTCTTCACACCTTGGACTTTACTGATTTCCTCCACAACCTGAAAAAAACAACATTGGGTGTTAAGACACCATTTTAAAAATCGACTGTGGAGTGGGGCATTTTGTGTGTGTGTGTGTGTTTTAAGCAGCCAGGGTATGAGTGAGATGTTTTTTTCACACCTTTGCACAGTTTGTTCCTGCCACAAGACAAGCCACCTCTCCACCAAGTTTACTCGCAGCACTGATAGCGTTCAGTGTAATCGGCGTCAACTTGTCATTGTTATGTTCCGCAACCACCAAAGTGCTCTGAAACCTTTGCAGCACGGCAGCCTGTAGGACAAAGCAAAATGTCAGTATGACACCCAACTTAAATAGGTATGCTAAAACTGACCATTATTATCTTTGTAAAGGCAGAAAATTTGACGCACCTCTTTTACCGTGCATGTGGACCTAATGTTGCCCCTTGCCATGCAAACGTAATGATTTGATTTAACATAAAATGAAATTTTATGTTGCGTGTGAACAAGCAATCCGGTGGTCTGTAGTTGTGAAACAACACAAAGTTGTTCATTCACCTTAAGATAACGCCAGCCTCATATGGACGGAGTCAGACATTACTAGTCGAAAAGAGAGCATCCATGCAAATTGCTTACACAACGGTCACAATTAAGAGCAACGGTGTATCCTATATTTCCTCTTTATAATACGTAATTTTGCAGCTCATTGTATAATACATGTTAAATATTTCCAGGTCAATGACAAAAGTCTGGTTTCGACTCGTCTGTTTGCCAACACAGAAGTTTCATAACCACCGTGCAACTATGCTAACACTTAGCATTAACAAAGACCACCCTAATCGAATCATAATCAAACATTATAAAAGCTTATCTGACTTATGTTTTGTCCGTCAAGCGCATGTATGTGTTTGAACCGATTGTGGGCGACGACTTTTGACGAAGAAATGCGCCTGCCTGGCCAGCAGCTGCAGCAGGAAAACAGGTGAGATAGCGAGCGTTTTGAATTTATCTCAAATAGAAGGACAACAATTCAGTAATATTCTTAGCCAGTTAATAGCTGTCAAGCTCTTACCAAGCGTGTCACGTTCGTTTTACAAAAAACTCTGTTCATCGTGAACTGCGGTCGGGTCAGGACGATCCTCATGCACTGCAGCACTGACGCGTTCGGCGAAGACTCTGTGCCAAAGGTCAGCCGACGTCATTGCCGTACTTCTCGCGAGATTAAACGAAGGTCGACGCATAAAGTCTCGATAGATAGATAGATAGATAGATAGATAGATAGATAGATAGATAGATAGATAGATAGACTTGAGGAAAATTAACTTGTGACACATATGGAATAATCACACATATACACTTGTTTAATAATACAGTAATTAGAACCGACAAAAATAACGAAAATATTTTGGGAAGGTTTTAACCAAATGTATAGCTAACCAACCAACCGTTTTTCTTTTTAAAAAATTAAAATATAAAATTGTTACATTAAGTTAAGCGACTATGGTAATTTTTAGCAACAAAATTAAAATATAAAATTGTTACATTAAGTTAAGCGCCTATTGTATTTTTTAGCAACACAAAATTTAGTGGAATTTTATTTTTGTGTGTATGTATTTATTGAAAATAACTTGGGTATGATTTACACACATTGAAATTAACTACTTTTTAATATATCGGTCTTCATTAATATCCACCACTTGCCACAACACGTGCACGACACAAGAGTTTTCTTTAAAATGTTGCCTCTACAATACATGACGCAAAGCAGATTTCTATGAAGAAATCCAAGTTAAATTTCAAAAGAAATGATAGCACCAAAAATGTCTTCACTTTGCTTTTTTTTGTTTGTTTTGTGGGACTAAATTGGTAACACTTTCCATCCAGTAGAGGGCTCTGTAGAGTGCAATTCAATACACTGAGGAACAAAACAACTCAGATTTTAGTTGTTTGTTTGTTTTGACAGGTATAAATATAATATAACAAGATATAATGAAATACCAAATAAAAAATGACATAAATATATTAATTACCACCAGTCCTAAAAACTAATACAAATCCACGTTTTATATTTTTTTTTCACTTCTTCAGATTTATAAAAACTCAAAATAGCAAAAATAAATAAATCATATTAAGTTAATGGAATGAAAAACAGTAAGAATCATTTTGAGCCAAACTAAATATCGACACATGTAATAAGAACATGCATCTGGCAGCTCTGGAATTCCTTAAAAAAAACTCCAAGTCGTTACCCCATCATGTCTGACAAGCTTAAAAAAAGTGCTTCCAGGAGGGTTGCATTTTCATGCTGGCCCCCTTCTGTGTGTACGCACAGGTCCCATGTCTGCGACGTCACAGGTTGGGGGAGCTTTGTTTTGTGCCCTCCTCTCTTGCGGCCAACACAAGTTGAAGGATCCAGCCAGGCGACGGGACGCTCTCTTCCTCCCGTATGGTGGACATCCTGTTCGATGCCTCGTTCTTGGATGATATGGGGGATCTTTCCAAAAGTAAGACTTGCAGTCTTGTCTTTTTGTCATGAGGACTGTTTTTTTTTTCTTGTTCTTGAAGCATCGTCTCAAAATCTGCAACTGTAAATGAATCAGAAATTGTTACAATTTGCATTAGGTGCTTTTGTTTTTTAAACATGATTAATTCTGTAGACGTTCCTCCAAAGTGATGAAACTGAAATGATGCTGTGTGGCTCATGCATGTATGCATATTATATCAATCCACGTGTCACAACCGTGCAGAGAAATCAGGAATTGCAATGTGCGTGGGCTGCGGGAGCCCGATACAAGACCAGTACATCATGAGGGTGTCCCCGGACCTGGAGTGGCATGCAGCCTGCCTCAAGTGCGCGGAGTGCAGCCAGTACCTGGACGAGAGCTGCACTTGCTTCGTCCGAGAAGGAAAGACTTATTGTAAAAGAGATTATGTCAGGTAAGGATTTGATCTTCTTCTTCTTTTCTTTATGCACTAATAAGCGTGCGCACCTGTAAGCCCGATGCGTGTTTGGCTGCTTCCAAAAATAAAAACTTGACTGATATAGTTGACGTCATTTTTAGGTTATTTGGGATAAAATGTGCAAAATGCAAGACGGGCTTCTGCAGCAGTGACTTGGTGATGAGAGCCCGGCAAAGTGTGTATCACATGGAGTGTTTCCGGTGCTCCGTGTGCAGTCGACACCTCCTGCCCGGGGACGAGTTTTCGGTGCGGGACGACGAGCTACTGTGTCGAGCCGACCATGCACTGTTGCTGGATAGAACCTCCGCGGATAGCCCGCTGAGCCCCGGGAACATTCACTCCAGACCCCTGCACATCTCTGGTATAATAATTATTATTATTATTATTATTATTATTATTATTATTATTATTATTCGTTAACATGCACAATACTGCAGCTTTACACGTTGGTTGGTAAAATTATAAAACGTAACTTGCTTGAAAAAGGTCACCATTTAATTTTGATAGTTCGATATCATATTTTTCCCCGTGTGTCGCCTGCTTTTTGTTGATTTAATTTTTCTTCCTTCAGACCCAGTCTCCGTTCGGCACCCACCTCATCACCGGAACCACATTCACAAGCAGACAGAGAAGACCACCCGGGTCCGGACGGTGCTGAACGAGAAGCAGCTGCACACGTTGCGGACTTGCTACAACGCCAACCCGAGGCCTGATGCCCTGATGAAGGAGCAGCTGGTGGAGATGACCGGCCTGAGCCCCAGAGTGATCCGGGTCTGGTTCCAGAACAAACGCTGCAAAGACAAGAAGAAGTCCATTCTGATGAAGCAGCTGCAGCAGCAGCAACACTGCGACAAAACGGTCAGTTTGCCGCCTTTAATTTGAGTTTAAATGAATGCAGTTTGGAATTAAAATTTAGGGCTGCACGGTATAGCCTATCGAAAAAAAATGTCATCGTCAAAAAATGGCCCGTGCAAATAGACGTGCAACAACGTTTCATATGGAAATGTATATTTTTTATCTGACTTAGACCAACCAGATGCACCCTTAAATGTGCATCGCCAACCAAAAGGTGAACAGTATGTATGGGCCATTACTAAAACTAAATAACCTTAAAAATACACACCTATTAAAAAAATGTAAGTCATTACAATTAATTAGCGAAGCATACTTTGAGCCTGCTTATTTTGCCTGCATAAAAAATATATTTTTTACATCACAATAACAATGTCATTTCTTTTGGTACATATGTTAAATATCCCAATATTGATATCGCAGTATTCAACACCCATGTCACATTATCACGGTTTCCCAATATCGTGCAGCCCTAGTGCGTATTGATTTCACCTTGAAACAAGAACGAGCATCTAAATGAATCAATTCATGCCAATATTTAAATATTAATTCTTTAGGTCAGGAAAACAACTTGATGAATGATATTTGAAATGGATTAAATGAATAAAAAGACTTGCCTTTTCTTCTATATCTTCGATTCTTCTATAAAAAAACATTTTTCCATATTTTCCAACATTTTTTATATTTGTGCTTGTTCTTTTTCACAATTTAGTGTGAGTGTGCTGTGCCATTTGAATTTCTCCTCTCGGTATCTATACTGCATTTTCTTATGCATATTATTTTATTTACTGTATACGAGCACATCACAGTATGTCATTAAAATATGCTGTCCAGTTGAATATGATTTTAACTATCCTGACGTCAACACAAAAATGACATTCGATTATTTTTATTACAGGCTAGAAATTGTACAGTACATTTTAGGAGCTTCTTCACGGACTTGTGAACGTACATTATCGCATGTAGAACCTGCAGGGCCTGACAGGAACGCCGCTGGTGGCAGGCAGTCCCATCCGCCACGACAGCACCGTGCAGGGAAACTCCGTGGAGGTGCAAACCTACCAACCACCGTGGAAGAGCCTCAGTGACTTCGCCCTGCAGAGCGACCTGGACCAGCCTACCTTCCAACAACTGGTAAGAATGACAACGGGGAGAGCACACCACGTGCACGCACGGAGACACTTTATTAGGTACACCAATGCCATTCAGGACAGAGCGGTTTGACAGCGTCATAGAGGTAATAATTAACCAGAGAGTTATACTGAGCTTTTTGCGGGGGACCAACATTTGATAAGCTCCTGCAAACTACAGCAATATGCATATCGTCAATTGTGCGCATTTGAAAAACAAATTGAGCCGCATGTTAATAACATTTTATCCAATGCACGAAGTCGCTAACAAAATAGTAGAAACTGCCTACAGTGCCGTTTTACATCACTACAAACTACAACCAAAAGAATGAAGAAATTGTTATGTAAAGGCCTTTTTTTCCATTTTCAATAAGGATTTATATATATAATCTTGTGTCATTCGCATGTGGCCAATATAACCAAAATAATAAAGACAGCGCCTTATTAAGCATTAAAGTCACTGCATACTATGACGATAGACACTTAGCAGTCACGAAAACGTTATTTGTGTCTATACAAAATAATGACAGTAATAATAATAAAGAGGGCTGGAGCTGAATATACGATTATTCATGAAAATCAGACTATGCATAGATACATAGCTAGGCTCGTGCAATTTAAATAATTTTTTTTTGGTTTTTAGTTATGCATTAAAATAACTGTCTACAACTACTTTAAAATATCAAGAGAGCACCGATATTTATTTGAATGTTTATTTATTCTGAAAATAAGCACACCTTGACGTAGCCTAAGACTTTAAGATATTTTCCCTTTTATTATTCGTTAGCTAATCAAATATCAGCTTGATATTTTAAAAGGAAAAAAACTAATACAACGACCTGTTGTTTCAGATGTCTTTTTCCGAGTCGGGCTCGTTGGGGAACTCATCGGCCAGTGACGTCACCTCACTGTCGTCTCAGCTTCCGGACACGCCGAACAGCATGGTACCGAGTCCGGTGGACACGTGAGGAGCTCGGTCACGGGACGCCAAATACACAATTAAGGACTTCATCGAGAACATAACAATCATAAGATGCTGCTGCTGGATTTACTCGAGAGGATACTCAACCATCCCTACTTTTTTGGGGGTGCTCAAGGGCACTAGAAGCGGATACGCCTTGTGGGATTCGAACGTGTGGACAAACATTAATCAAAGTGTCTCAGCGGAAGACAGTATACAAGGTGTGGATGTGTACAGCGTCACTCTGTTATCTGCGCGGAGAAATAAGTTATTATTATTTATTGTTATTACGACATAGCCAATCTTACCAATAAAACGATGGTCCAATTCATTGTTTATTTGCATGTTGTCTATTCAGCTTGGCGAATACTTCAAATAACGAGTAGTAGCCTAAATGCTATTGACAGTATATGGCATTTGTCAAATTGGACGGATTAACTGCTTCAGTGCTAAACAAGAAGACAAAAAAAAAACAACTAAAAACCTTCAATGTAATGAAATCGTAAACAATATTTAATAGAGGCCTCGGAACAAGTTGGTTATCAAATACAAAAGTATTGGTGAAAATAAGTAAAAATTAAATAGGTTAAAAAAAAGTATTCCATTTTTATTCTTACATAAATTAGGATTTAAAAAAAAATCACCTTGTTTAAAAAAATCACTTTATGTCCTCGAAATTCTTTTGTCTTGATTCCAAATGGCTACAGTCCAGACAGACGACAGTCTTATCTGCATCTGGCATCACCTGCCAAGGGTCCACTAACAGGGGCCGCAACACACGGGGTCGATGGGGGGTGGGGGTGTGGACTGCTAGTTTAAGGAGAGGTGGGGGGTACTCCACATCGCTCTAGGACGTATCTTGGCGTGTCCTGAGTTTATTTTCCTTCCAGTAGGAATGCCGCACGGCAAATAGCCGCTGGACAAGAGGGAGCAAGCGGGTCAAGCCGGGCTTGACACAAGACACCTTCACAATTTGTTTGGGAGGATCCGCTTTTATCAGTGCCAGGAAACGGACACTCATTGAGGGGTCAGCGCACGTAAAGATCAGCTTGTAGTGAACGGGGCTGCAACTCTGTGCAACTTGAAAAGAAAAGGGCTTTAGGACATGATTGTATACACATTAAATGGGGAAATCCATTCCCCTAAGTATTATTTCCAATTTAATGAGTTAGACTTTCCAACTTGTAAATTTGGGTCTTACCTCACAAGTGGAGAAGTGAAGCAAGGAAACAACTGCAGTTGTATCCAAATTGTCATTTTCTGTGCGAAATACCATCTGCAGCTGTAATTGAACTGTAAATGATCTACAAAAGCAAATTTTAATTAGAGATGGATGTTCACCAAACATAATTTTGATGCTGATAAAAAAACGCAAATTTTCTTTTCCTCTATAGCACAACAGGTTTAAGATATTTTTAACACTTTTGTTTTCTCGGTTCCCATTTGAAATATATTGCTATATTACATGTGTTATTGTTACAATATTATTATTTTGAGCCTGGTGTGGTAGAGAGAAAAACGAGGGCAGATTTGGAATTGGGGTGTCACATAAATAAATCTAGAAAAGTTTACTTTCATAATTGATGACAAATTGCAAAACAGTGTTCATTTAACTCAAACCACAATGTTTTGACAGACTGATCAAATTTATGGTGAGCGAAACAAACAACAGCAATTGAGCAAAATGAACTTTTATTACATACATTAATAGAAACTATAATGATACATTAACTTAAATATTTAACCTGTGCGTTAACAGTAATCTACGATTAAATTAGCGTTTTGCCTTCTTAAGGAAGAAACCGAAAAAGGTGCCAGTAAGAAAAAAACATTGTGAACACGTTTGGAAGTAGTGGATGTCATGACTGGCATAAGATGAGTACAAAATAGGACAAATGTAATAAATAAATAAATGTACGTTTCCAGAACAGAAACAAACTTTTGTTGCTCTTAAACAAACAAGCTATTTGGTGCAAATTCCTCATGCACATCAGTCTGCTTTCGCAGCAGGTGCAGCAACACAGAACAAGGCTTTCACATTTTTTTTCTTAACATTTGAAAGGTTTTTTGTCAGATCAGCTTCAGGTCAGAGAGTCGATGGTGCTTTTCTTGAAGGTGGCAGTCTGTCACTCGTCCTGCTTTTTGAGGAAAAACTGCAGTGCCGAGTCCCACTGGTCTCGAGGGAAGCGGTTGGGCAACTCGCAGTAATCCAACTGCTCAAGTGATGCTGCATGCGAGAGAGAGAGAGACACACACACACACACACACACACACACACACACACACACACACACACACACACACACACACACACACACACACACACAAATAATGTAC